TATACATAGTAGACGTAGGGAGACTGAGACAAAAATGAAGGGGTGTCATTTTGTGACAGATGGTTCTAGCTTTTAATTGGAGATGGTTTTAACAGGGCTTTCTACTCCCAGGGCTTAGAGCAGGTTGAAGCAAGATAATGCAAGTCTCTGTCCACTTTTGATACTTTTTGCTAATTCTGTCCTCACAGAACAGGAATGCCCAGCACTGTTTTGGTGGCATCTGTACAATCTTAGAAGGTGCAGCATTGCGTGCTTGTTTGGAAAATTATAGATGTCCAAGTCCTTCTGCTTCTGGTGCTGTATGTTCCACAATTAGTATCCACCCTGCCCAGTTTTATTTTTTTTATTTTGTTTTATGATTTTGGTGCCAACTGAACAAAAAGAAAAAGTAACTGTGTTTTTCATTGATAAGTACCTCCTAGTTCCTTTTGCTTACAGTCCTGAAATGTTGCAGTTTTCTTACCCAGGGCCACTCCAGTGATAGACGTTATTTTCATAACAAGTGTCCACAAACATCTGGGAGAAATAAACACGGCTGAGATCCTGGACGGGAAGGCATGGCGCAGAGTGCAGCTCAGGCAGAATCACAATACATCGCCCCTGTCCACTCCTACAGGACTCACTTTACTGTTGTGGTGCCTGTCCATGGGTACTTATAGCTGGTGGAGATTAGACCATTGAAGAACTGTCTGGCTATATGCTAGATGCACAGGACCCCAGGAAGTCTCAGAGGATTCCTTTGTTCTGCATCTGGCTATGGGGTCAGAACCATTTGGTCTTCCAATGCCCTCCATTCTTGAGCCTCCCTTTGCCACAGGTAAGGTGAGTCCTGTGTGGGTCCTATGAAGGAATGAGTGAATTTCTCCTTTTGCAAGGAGCAAAAAAGTTCATTATGTAGCCATCACTGAATTTCACTAAGGATGCCAGTCATTTTTGCTTGCCTAGCAGGGGGAACCACTCCAAACTATAAAGACTACAATTACATAACTGCCCTTGCCCCATTCTCAAGCTTCACCACCCTGCAAAGGGAAACCATGCCTCTAAATTGCATCCAATTTTCCTAATAATTCTTTCAGAAAAGGTTATCAGCAGCACTCTTTAAATAACAAATAAACAAGCCTTTAAAGGTATTGTAGCACAAAACCCCACTGAATTTACTTAGCTGAAATTTGGCAGGCTTCATCTCTGCACATGGAGCTGCTATTTCTGTGAAGTTTATCCAGTTCTGTCAAACAGCAAGAAAGGTTCAGTCCTTTGTTGATTTCCAGCGGCAATCAGTGGAAAGTACAAAGCTTTGGATTTACTAGGTTGGAACTTTTTTTTATTTAAAAAAAGGCAGTGGCTGAGTTGAGTGTTAAGTATTTGTGTATAGAGGGTGGGAGAGTAGGTTACCTCTTTCTGAATCTGGCACACCTGAGGATGCCTGGAGTTGTGTATTTGTAAAAATGTAAGTGTGTGAGAGAGCATGTGTTAGGAAAGGAGGAAGTATTGTAATCTGTCACAAATATTCCTCTTAAAACATAAAAATAAAGTTACACTTGTGTACAAATTTTATTTTGGGCCTCCAGCTTTCAAAACCAACTTGGGCTTCCAATCTTTGAAACCAATTCCATGCTTGAATTCCACACTGCTGTTTTAATCTTTGAATGTGGAAAGCACTGACAGCTCTTGTTGTTTAACTTCAATGGCAAGGATTTTCTTTTTCATATTATTGAAACCTGGCGTGTGTTTTTCATTCATGCATCTAAGAAAAGCTAGATAAAATAGGTCTGTTGCCTGCCATTTCCCCCATAGTGGAATTGTCTGACATAAAGCTTGCAGGAGCATAAACAAATACGGGCGGTAGCTCAGAGTGAAATGCAAACATGATGTTCAATTCTCTGGCAAGTGTTAAAGGGTTGCTGGAAGTTGACAGCTATCCCATGAAGGCTAAACATACATGCTTTGTCCTGTCAGTAAAATTAAGCCTTTTAAAGACTGTGTGGCACTTGGTACGACACAAGAGTATCTGTGTGAATAAACAGAATGTCCACTTCAATACATTTCTATGTGTAGAGCTCTTTAATGTACATATTAAAATACTAGTTCAGCACATCAAAAAATGCAGGTGGAGCTATGACATACATTGGAGCAGGCAAGGTACTTGTATGAGTTACGTTTTGGAAGTGGTGTTCCAATCTCTTATGTTTTTTTTCTTTTTCTTTAATGAGACAAAATGGAGTTGAGACAAATGAGATACAGCTTCAGAAATTCTAGTCCACCTGAGAGTTTGTGATTAGGGATGACTATAACAATGAGTATATTATGAAGCCCCTTTAATGGCTTCTTTTCCTTCAGGGCACTCAAGGTTGTATATATTTAGTTCTTCCATCATTTTATCCATGAAAGAACCCTATGAAGTACATTAGACTGGTGTGTGGGGTGCTGCCTGTCTATATGCACATTTATATTTTAGCTGATTTTATGTAGGTGTACTGGGAGAGGTCCAAGAAGAGTTCAGGAAGGGAATAGGCACTAGGGACCACATTGCAAACATACAATGGCTAATGAAGTGCACCAGGGAATTCCAAAAGAAAATCAACATGTGCTTTATAGACTATAGCAAAGCCTTTGACTGCATAGATCGTGAAAGGCTATCGAATGCCCTTAAAGACATGGGAGTGCCAACACAACTGATAGTCCTAATGAGGAATCTGTATTTAGGACAAGAGGCTACTGTCAGAACAGAACACAGAGAAACAGAATGGTTCCCAATTAGCAAAGTAGTCATTCAAGATTGCATATTTTCACCCTATCTGTTCAACTTGTATGCAGAACATATTAT